GACCTTAAAATTGGATATCATCGGCTTCCTCTCGTCACGGGCAACACGCTCGGTTTTTTCCGCGAAGCTCTAGCTCGATCAGGGGCCAAACGGCAAGGGGGGTCCAACCGACCCCCCCCCTACACATTAGAAGCTGGCAAACGCCGCACACATGCGAGGGTTTTAAGGTCCTAGGTCATCGGTTGACCTTCCAGGTCAGGTCAATGACCCAAAAATTGAGAATATCGGGACCTGCTAGAAAGTCGTAAAGCGTGGCTTCTAAGGGATTTTCCGGGGTGCTGATCACGAATAACGTGTTAGTTTTGATCACAGAGGATGTCGTTAAGCGTTAAGACCATGGGTCGGGTCAGGTCAGGTCAGGTCAGGTCAGGTCAGGTCAACCGGTAGGGATCGTGACAGGTATTCGTAGTACCTGTCATCCACTTCTGACAGCTTCGTAACATGTTACGAAGGCACCAAACCTACTTCGTAAATGCTCAAATGGTTGCTAAATTCGAATTCAGCTCCAAAAACTAGCCTAGAAACATGTAAAACTCGAAAAAGTGAACCGAGGTCACCAAAGGTCAATGACCTGACCTGACCTTCAGGTGACCTTGACACCCACCCTTATCCATGGGAGAAACATCAAATCACATGTTTGAACGTTTGAAACCACGAAAAACTTGCAAACGCGCGGCTAATGCGAGCCGACATACGCCGAATCGCGATTTCGGCCAAACATGGTCACGGAAAAGAGGTCACAGGTCCAAGGTCATTGGGGTCAGGGTCATGAAATTTTCAGGGTAGATGTAAAATTAATTAATGCGAAGGTACTGAAAGTTTCGTCGCGATCGGCCGCTTTTTACGCGAGTTATTTGCGAAAAACCTTAGGGGGGTTGCATGACCCCCCCCCCCCCTGTGCCGTCGAGGGTTAACAGGCCAGGTTAGCTTGAGAACCATCTTAAATGTGGCCGTCACTCAAGCGAATCTGCGATCGAGAAGGCCTCCGGCACTGGAACTTCGAAGTGGCGGCATTTCGGCCGCGACGGCTACGACGGTCGGGCCGACCCACCGACCGTCGCGGCGACGACGGTGTGTGACGGACCTCCTTCGGCGGCCGCCTGTAGTTCACCCAGACTGCCCGACACGCCCCGGCCCGACACGTCCCGGATGGGAAGGGGGCGAGGTGCGACATTATGTACAGCATTAGCAGTCACTCAGCGGGCTGTCAGCTCAACAGAGGAGCATATGGAGGCATGAGGAGCGGTGAATTCACACAGGGAAATGGTGACAAGAGATTCGGTAAGAGATTCGGACACTGAAATTATAATTTTTAATCAATTAAAAATTACTATTATATTTATTACGGAGCGAGCGAAGCGAGCGGAGTCTTTCCTTAGATTAACGGAAATTTCTGAGTATGACCGGCCGGCCGTGCGGACGCTTTTGCCTCTTATATCTCAGCAACCACTTGACCGATTTACATGCGGTAATTTTTGTAGGGTAGCTTCATTCCTTCTACCAAGTATTGGACTATTCCCAATGCATGTGGGTGACCCCTTATGCACGTGCCACGTGCAAAACGAAGAGGTGTCAGTTTTGTAATTGTTGCAATATCTCGGCAACTACTTGGCCGATTGCGCTGAAAGTTGGCATGTAGGTAGGCACCCACTAGGCACTGCATATCCATGTGCCAGAGTTGGGGTGCTGCTGCACGTGCGCACGTGCAGGGGTCGTTTCCAGATCTCGAGAACGGCTCGACCGATTGCGCTCAAATTTGGTACACATAGGGACCGGTTAGTAGGGTGCCGTGCACAAGTCAGTTGGGACCCATTTTGCACGTGCGCACCTGCAGGATGCCGCTTCCAGATCTCGAGAACGGCTGGACCGATTGTCTCAAATTTGGCACCTCGCTAGAGACCAGCTAGGAGGGTGCAGTGCACAAGTCAGTTGGAAGTACCCCCTCGCAATTTCGCACGTGTAAGGCCCACCCTCTCGCTCGCTCCGTTAGTCGCCCCAAAAGGCGTTATACTGGTACCTATAATTATGCTGTGGATCCCAAAATGGTTTTGAATTGACAAATAGGACCTGGAAGATAGAAATGCTTTTTAGATAAAAATTGGTAGTAAAATAGATCTTTGGTATGCGTAGGGATGTTTTAGGTACTTATCCATCTGAAAAGCATCGCTACTTCACCGGCACCTGTAGAAGACAGATCGCAAATGGCATTCGCCAATTACTCTTATAAGAAGCTGACTGACGTATAGTGTACGGAAATGGGAAAAGTTCACTGATGCACGACAGTCACGGGACGGACGCTATCGAACTGCTGCCTGAGGCGAAGGGCCGGGCGTAAAGGCTGAAACAGACTCTTTCCGCGTTCAGGAAATCGCACGTGAGAGCCTATTCAAATACATTATAATTCTTCTCGCATCAATCGCTTGCGGGAGGTGCGTGCGATTGATGCGAGCGTGCTTCCATGTATTTGAATAGGCTCTCGCATGCGATTTCCTGACTGCGGAAAGAGTCTGTTTCAGGCATAAGGCAAGGCGCGTCCGCTGCCCAGCCCTGCGGCCGTCGCGTCGGGGCGCAGCTGCACGTCAGGCGGTGTGGGGAGGGGCGGGGGGAGCACGGACGGGCCGGCGCGGACTGCCGAGTCGTGTGGACACAGCAATGTGATGGACTTAGAACGACCACGGCAGGTCGGCACCGGGCCGCGCCGGGCACGCGTGCGGGCGGGACGAAACAGACACGCCCCGCCACCGGAGATAAGTGGATGAGGTGTGCTTGGTGGTGGTGGTGGGGGGGGGGGGGGGGGGGGGCTGTGTGCGTGAGCGTGGCTGTGTTGCATAGATAGCACTTAATTTATTGATGTGTCAAAAGGGCTAGCGTGCCACCCACAACCGAAATAGGTATGTCTGACGGCCGTCGGCATGGTAGGTACACACTACACATCATTTGATAAAACACACACTTCAGAGATAAATTGAGCTTGCATGCAATCAATACCGAAAAGTTACGTCAAACCAATCCTGTTAATCTTAAAGAAATTGATTGCCATTTTCACTTACAGCGTTTTCATTTGATTTTCAGATTGAAGCAGCTACATACCACAATTCATTCCAGTGAAGGTCCCATGGTACACACGAGATGCCCTTTGTTTATTCACTCGCACGGTCGTAAATGGTGCGCTCGTCCTGAAACAGACAGATATCGCGAGCTCGTGACGTTGCTATTCTCTCCGCATGACGAGGCCCGGTTCTTGGTGACTAAAATGTATGCATGCATGTTTTCGTAGGCCGTAACAGGGACAAACTAAACAAACAAAAAGAAGCCAGTATGGGTTGGGAAGAGATTCATTCCCCTCTGTCTTTCTGTCTCTGTGTCTGTCTGTCTGTCTGTCTGCCTGACTGCTTGGGTCTTCAATTCCATCTGTCAAATATTTATATGTGACAGGAATGCATAGTTGTCTCTTTCAATCGTTACCTCTCTCTCTCCCTCCCTCCCTCCCTCTCTCTCTCTCTCTCTCTCTCTCTCTCTCTCTCTCTCTCTCTCTCTCTCTCTCTCTCTCTCTCTCTCTCTCTCCAAATAACACCGCACACATCATTAGAGCTGCAGTGTCTGTGTGGCCATCGGTCAACTGTCGGCTGGTGAACACAAACCCAAAACAGCCGGAAAGCGGTCCAAAACAGACCGGCCACAGGACAAAACAGACGACCGGACGCTGACCACTAGCAGCGACCTTGAAACAATAAACACGGGGTGTGGTGGTGTGGAGGGGGACGAAAAGCAGAGGTAGCGAATGTCGGAGCACACGAGTTACATTGATGCAGTCAGTTAAAAACCGTGATACTGGAAGTCTGGATTTACCTTGATATCATTAGAACCTAAGTAGTGGTTATCTTTGACTGTGTAGCAGTCCGTCGCCAACCTTTAGAATCAGAAGTAGTGGTTGCATTTGATGTATTGACGTGGAGCAGCCGGCTACCAACAGGGCCCCGTGGCGGCCGGGCCATGCGGAGGGGGTTCGGGGTTCGGGGCGGTAACTCCGTCGCTGCACGCTGTCGGGACCTCTTATACGCCTCAGAGCCCCGGGAGCCTCCGGTCTGACGCGGTGATTATGTCTTTACGCTCCAAGTCACTGGATCCCATCAGCGTCAGACGCGCTCAGAGCCGCCAATTCGGGCCACTTGTGCCGCAATGAGAACAGAGACCAGAGAGCGGGAACAAAAACGCCACCAAAAAGTGCGCTTTCATGCAAAGCACAGCGCATCATTAATAATCCTTTTAGCTGCCTTTTTTTGCATTTGAATCATTACTCCACTCAGCATTATTAGGATATTATTCCATCTTGCATTTGCGTGCTTCGGAGCTCTGGCAGCTCAAAATTCGGCAGTAGTACAGTAAAAAGTGATGCATACAAAGCCTAGTTGCATCTACAATTTGCCAATGCAACTACCAACCTACATATCAGACAACAAACATTACAATAGGTATAGCGTTTCAGGTATGATGCCGGTGTAGGGCGCAATCAAAAGATAAGCTTTCACAAGAAACCAATATTTCTATTGGATGTTCTGACGCAATGCTATCATTTCAGTAACTTGGTCCCTATCTTCTTTTTTAAAGCTGTCTGGGATAGATAGCCATGCTGTCTGGTGCAGAGTCGAGTTTCATAGGTTTGTCGAATAAATCGATGAGAGAGCTATAATTCATCGTGTGAAGACCTACCAGAAATAACTCGGGCCTATTTAGACAGTTGGACAGCTGAGGTCAGATCGTTAGCGAAATCGAATGTAAACTCAGACTATAGTCATGCAGGTTGTGATTTGAGGGCATATATCCACGAAATTAGGCATCAAATTAGCACACAATTAACTGGCACACTGAAAAATAGCCCGTAACTTTTGCCGAGCATCCCAATATATGAAACGACCGACTTAACGTTTAATTCCTATTCCCACCATATTTTGATCAGCTAGCCATGTCACGATTGTTAGATATCATTATTTTTGTTTCAGAGCTGGCGGCGCCGGTCGGATGGCGTTCAACTGGAGCTCGGAGGTGCCGGGGACGCCGGGTCCTGATCTGCTGACGGCGGGCTGGCCGGTCGGCGCGGGGTCGGACCGTCTGCCGGGCTGGTCGGCCGATTCGGTCCACCTGGCCAACTGGTCGCTGGCGGCCGCCCGGCTGGGGCCGCCGCCCACCGAGCATCCGGCCACGGAGCTGGAGACGCGGCTCAGCCTCACCTACACGCTCTGCGAGATCCTGGTGGGCATCGTGGCAGCCGTCGGCAACAGCCTGGTGTGCATCGTGTTCGTGACCGACCGGCGGTTGCGCAAGCAGACCAACTACTACATTTTGTCGCTGGCACTCTCCGATCTCCTGGTCGGGGTGCTGGGAGTACCGGTGGCGGTGCTGGCCAGCGTGGGCCTGCCGCGCGCCCTCGGCGCCTGCCTGGTCAGCATCTCGGTACTACTCATCCTGTGCACCACCAGCATCCTGAACCTGCTGGCCGTGTCGGTGGACCGATTCTGGGCCATCCTCTATCCGATGCAGTACGCGCGCATCATGACGTCACAGCTAGTCACAGGTGAGAGATATAGGCTTCGATGGAGACCCTCCTGTTGAGAACCTATTGTTCAGGGATGTGACCAGCGGTGAGCATTCAAGTGACGTTAAAATAGACTTACGATTAAATACTGCAATGTCTAGTATAACAATGTCGTTTTCTTATTCTCAATGGCAATACTTTGAGAGAAAAAAAAACTCAGCATCCAGACGCCTCAGAGGCAAAAGGATCCGGCCGGCACTCCCATCCAGCTCCCAGCCATATTTATTACGCATGCAATATTCTGACATGAGTGGCACCCTTGACCCCGTAACCCCACTCGTAATAGACCGTAGACTGGCACCAATCGGCTATCTGGCCACAAAAGCTCGGCGACACGCCTTCTCTGACGTCCGACGGCATGGGGATCTGTAGCGGAGGTGGGGACGGGACGGCGGCGAGGGCGCCGCGCCGCGCTGGTGGGATAGGGTTCGGGGTCGGGTCGTCATTAGCCGAGTATCGGCAGCAGTCAGCCGGCCCGGCGGCGGCGGCGGCGGCGGCGGACTGCAGCCTGCTGACTGTTGTGCCGCTGTGTCGGGGTCGATGGCGTGTCATGACTCCGCCGGCGACCGCTATCGCCACCTCCCACCTTGGCTGTCGCTAATGACCTGGACAGCTGCCGATATAGGCAAAAACAGTCTACGGCACGCCTCTCGTCCGGCCGTCTGTAATAACGACCAACACCCCGCCAATAACGACCAACAACCCACACTTGAATCGTGGTCTGCAGTAATGACTCGGTCTGGGGACACCGCGATACCACACCAACATTGCCCATCATAGCATCGCCGCCAGAAAATTGTATTGCTATTGATTGGGTACATCCTGAGAACGGACTTCACAGTGGCGATGACCTTTGAGGGAATTACTAGTGCACTATTCGAGATGAGAATTTGAACTAACGATAACTGAACACGGCATTTTCACCATTTGCCGTAGCTTTACAGTCGTTTTCGATTAAAACTGCAGGTCGGTTACCTATGTACATTTAACCCGCACCTGACGTGGTCATTGTTTTCGTTTCAAAGAAGTTTCTAGAATGGTGCAATGTGCATGCATACCTACCTTCCTAATTAGAATAAAAGGCTTTGTGATCTCACTGAGAGAGCTTTGAAGTTTGTATCACCAAACCAATAGACGCTAGGTGCGCGTTGTTTAAGGCGCTTTATCTGAGTGAAATCCGTTTTAGAAAATTTAGCCCAATGCGATTTAGACTCCTTCAATGGGTTGTTCTGGTACATGTCACTATTTTCAATAAATCGAATTATTTATCTTAACCCGCGCACCGACGGGGGGGGCGGATATCCGCCCCCCCTGAGGTTTTTCGCGAATAGCGGGAAAACCGCGGCGCGAAATTAAATACGACTATTCCCTCATCAATTTTACACATGGTGTGCAAGTTTGAACCTCCTACCTTTTAAGGTCAGGTCACCAGGTCACTTTGAATGACCCAACCTCAAGTCACTTTTTTGCAACTTTGTCACCGTGCCAGAGCTACAGTAGATGTCGGAGGCCTTTGAAAGTCGCAGGATGTTATAAGGTCATTAGTAGCTACAATTTGTATATCTCGGAATTTTGATATCGGTGACCTAAGGTCAGGTCAATTTCGCGACCTCCCCATTATAAGTCAATGGGGGGAAAATCAACTCCCTGTTTTTACCACTAAAACGGGTCGGAATGGCCCCATATACCATACATGACTTCATATACGATCAACCTTCACTACCTTGAGGTCTGTTTTGCTGTTGGGCAGCTGTGAGGTCATGTGACGTCATCAAAGGTCACCAAAGGTTTTTGGCCAATAACTCCGTACAGGAACAAAATACAGCCGCGTGGATGGTCTCATTGTGTTCAGCTCGTCAAGACGCATCGAATGATATACATGATGACCTCGAGGTCACGTGACCTGAGGTCAACCTTTGACCTTGACCTTTCGAGGTCAACATATATATCATTCGATGCGGATTGACGAGAGGATCACGATGATGCCCTTAGTTTGTTCCTATCTTGAGTAATTCGAAAGTTATTCGAGAAAAACTCTCTCCATATCTAGCGCCGCCATTTTGACTTTTTCGACCCCTGTGACGTCATCTTTGACCTGACCTGAAAATGACCTTTGTAAAAATTGTAGATCTTGACCGTGCGTATCCGATGCCGTTTACCGCTTGTCGCTATCTTGCTTCGTTCTCGAGATCTCAGGGGGGGCGGTCATCCGCCCCCCCCCCCCCGTCGGTGCGAAGTTGGCGCAGACCCCCGTCGGTGCGCGGGTTAACAAACATTTTCCATTTTCTCTCCAATGTAATGAATCCGCTGCATATTATTACGAGCGAGCGAGCGCAGCGAGCGAAGTGAGTCTTTTCAATATAACGGAAAAATCTCAGTATGAGCGGCCCGGCCCGGCCCGGCCTGTAACGCTTTTGAGAGGCTTATATCTCAGCAACCGCTGGACCGATTGGCCTGCGGTCTTTTTTGTTGGGTAGCCCCATCCCTTCTACCCCGTAATTGACTACTTGTGATACATCTCAGTGACCGTCGTGGCACGTGCCACGTGAAAAGTCAAGGGTGTTCAAGCTGTTTTGCAAAAGTAGTGATTTTGAGAGGCTCATATCTCAGCAGCCGCTTGGGCGATTGACTTGCGGTAATTTTTATAGGGTAGCAGCATCCCTTCTACCCAAAATAGGATACTCTCGATGCATGTGGGTCACCCCCAGTGCACGTGCAAAATACAACAATAAGAGGTGCCAAATTTGTTCCCATTTCAGTAACTCGGTAATTACTGGGGCGATTTCGCTGAAACTTGGCATACATGTAGGCACCCACCAGGCAATGCATTCCCATGTGTTGCGGTTAGGGTGCTACTGCACGTGCGCACGTGCAGGGGGCGTTTCCAGATCTCGAGAACGGCTGGGCCGATTGCGCTCAAATTTGGTACACGGTTGGGGACCAGTTAGTAGGGTGCCGTGCAAAAGTCATTTTGGACCCCGTTTGCACGTGCGCACGTGCAGAATGCCGCTTCCAGATCTCAGGAACGGCTGGGCCGATTGCGTTCAAATTTGGCACACCGCTAGCGACCAGTTAGAAGGGTGCTTTGCGCAAGCCCGTTGGAAGCACCCTCTCGCCCTTCCGCACGTGCAGGGCTCACTATCTCGCTCGCTCGTTCTTCGCCCAAAAGGCGTTTTACTGGTGTTACAGGTATTATAATCGGCTGCTGGGTGCTGGGAGCCGTGGTCGGACTGCTCCCAGTTATGGGCTGGAACGCCGGCCCCTACCCGTCCTGTCTCTTCACACGAGTCATGGACTACGACTACCTCGTGTTCCTCTACTTCGCCACCATCGTCTTCCCCGGCCTCGTGATGGCCGTATTCTACATCCGCATCTACATAGTCGTCGTCAAACAGGTGGGTAAGACGACGGACGGATACCAGAACACCCAGGATAGACAGGACACCGGCCGGGCGCGGCGGCTTGGGAACTGGCAGGGTAGGCAACCCGCACTACATACCGGCTCGGCGGTACAGTCTACGCGCCAGGTTAACTAGAAATCGGGCTGCATGATCGGTGAGGGCTGGCGTTGTCGTCATTGAAGCCGATTGAATAAAAAGGGATATACATGTATTTGCTTATAGGTCTCCTTATATCAGCTCAAATATAAATGCTTCTTGAACGTACTGCTTCAACACTTACAAATCTCTTTAGACGGTTTTATTTTTCGATGCGCCACCAGGCGTCAATGCTGTTATGTGCTGATGTCTGAACTCTGATGTAAACAAAAATGAGTATTTTGCGACAATGCTTCCCAAGGAGAATTTTCGGAAATTCTCTTCAGAAATCTTCGCTACCCTTACCTTGTGATGTTAAATCAAACCTGAAATCACTTCCTCTTACTAACCGCAAATCCGCCATCATTCCGTCTGATTGTGTCCGAAGCACGTGTTTTCCGTTCCGTCTCGGGCGGGCGGTGCCGGCAGCGTGTCGGCCCGCTAAAATTATGGCTGTTTGGCCACGCCGACACCAGCGCCGAGACGGGCGGTGGTAATGCCCTATATCTACCGCCTCCGAGACCGCGTTATAATCGATGAATATATTAGCGTGGCAGTCTATCGACGTAGCAGGGGGTGGAGTGTCGGTGACTCGGCCACGGACAGTCGGTGGCCGTGGCCGCTGTCTGCTCTCGGGGTAGGCCCGGTGGGGTCAGTCGGTCCCACCGGGACTCGCTGCCGACCCGCCGCGATTGCCGCCCGCCCGAGAAGCCGGCCAGAGCCGCGCTGTTATCGCGGTCTCTAATGAATACCCCGGAGAGCGTCCCGTGCACACACCGGGGACATGGGCGGCACGCTGATTATCTGCCGTCTCCGGCCTTCTCGTGGAGAACCGACGGACAAACAGGCGGACAAACAGGCGGAGAAAACTGCGCATCACACTTGTTGACAGCCACATGTGGACCTGCAGGCTGCATTGTAGGCAGCAGTAGCTGTGACATTGAAACGTATTGCAGTTGATACTATCTTGGATTTTCACAGCCCCAGTTCTTATTTCATTTCATTCTCACCAACAATGTGGCTGCTCTTTGACCACATGCCTAGGCATCCACCTCACATGAAAACATGAGCTCTAGGAACTTGTCAAGCTGAACTTTCCATCAAAGCCAGCTTGTATAAAAGCCTCACATTTCTTACGAAGAGCCAGCCCACACATATCCGTTTACCATGACTGAAGAGGTATTGCGCAGCGGAGACCGGGCACTCCCGGCACCAGTCCTGGGACCACACATAATTGGCCATCGTCGTCCGGGCGCACAGTGTCGCCGCCGTTTGTGCGCCGGGAGAAAAACAACCGGCTGCCGCCGTCACTGCGCACTGGCGCGGGGCGGCACCGGAAAATAGCCGCCAGTGACGGCCGACCAGGCCCCTCCCGGGACGAGCGCTGACGGCTGACGTCATAAGGGGGCAGCATACAGGTCACACCGGATGTGGGTCCTTCAGCGGCCGTGTCTATTTTTTTGCGAGTAATTTTGGCAAGAATAAAAATGTGTTAGTAGCATTTCATACTGGCGAGACATGGTATGCAAGTTATAAGGGTTATAAGAATTAATGCTATACGTGGTGAACTGGTTATGTTGCCTGTCAAATTCCAAACACGTAGCATAATTGTACTCTGTCGCCTCACGTAAGCCATCGCCCACCTTGTGCGCTGCGCCTGAGTGCCAGCCGTCAATTTTGAACCAAATACCTATAATTTTGCCGAGCATATTTTTTATTATAAATTTGCCGAGCAGGTTGCGTGAGGAGCGCACAAAGGGACGTGTTGGACTCAATGGACTAAAATGACTATGTTGGGGAGCGATCAGGTGATAGGTAATGAGTCCCGACACTGGAACAGCAATGATGCAGCTCATAGACGCACCAATAATGCGTATTCAGATTTATAGCAAGCTCCGCGCTGCAATTGCAGTAGGTAATTATTTCTCTAGCGTCTCAAACACGGAAGGACGGGCAAAGGTGGGCTGGCATAAAATATTTGCCTATGCATTTTCTGATGCGACATTCGCAAGGGGCGCGGGAACTACTTTCAGACTGGGGGGGGGGGGCACTATAATACAGATCAACCTAGGGTCCTACCCCAAATCAAGTTTTCTCATCGGTTTTAGGACACTTATTTTTCATCCCTTGGCTTTTTCAACAAAAAAAGAAAACATTTGCAAAAAAAGTACGGTATTACGTCTCAAAGTTGTGGGGGCACCGCCCCCACGGCCCCTGAGGTGGGGGGGGGGGGGCAAGCTGCCCCCACTGCCCCCCGGTTACCGCGCTTATGACATTCGCACTTTCATTGCAAAATTGATGCAACTCCATTACCAAAAAGAAAAGAAAGGAAAGGCGCAGCCAGTGGGTACCTGCTGGCGAATTATATACCTAACTGTATTGTCGTATAGCATTTCAATTATTTTGACAATAATAAAAACCTCTAGCTTAACTCTCTAGCTCACGTATGCATCCTGAATTCACTGTCGCATAAATACCGATCCGATGCCCCACCTGCTGCTGCACGTAATAAAGCATTGGTGAGCACATCTTTTCGCTTGGACAGCGACCATCAAATGACCTGTGATGTGTCCGTGCCTTCAGGTACGCAGCATGTCGTTTTTCTCCCACCTACCGGAGAGCGCCCGGGAGAGCAGCTGCTACCGTAACTGCGCCGGCGGCCAGGTGGCTCGCAAGGAGGTCAAGGCAGCCAAAAACCTCTCCATCATCGTGCTGTTCTTCATGGTCTGCTGGTTCCCGCTCTACACCATCAACTGCATCAACGTAAGTAATCACAGGCTCGTGTGTGGGTAGAAAGTAAGATGTAAGTGCGCGATAACCCGTGGTAAGCAGTAACGTAGCCTGATTCGCAGATTGTCGGAAAATTCGGTTCTTTTTACCATGCTTTATAGCTTAAAGCCCTGGGATTTGCTGAGGTGCTAAGCGTGAGCTTCCCCAAACGTTCAAAAACTTACTTCACACCTCCTCCGAAAAATAAGGACTATATATATATATATATATATATATATATATATATATATATATATATATATATATATATATATATATATATATATATATATATATATATATATATATATATATATATATATATCAGAGAGGTAGCCGTTTCGAACGCGTCTTACTTTTGTACATACATAGATGAGTGCTGATTGACTGTGTTTGCCTGCCACAGGCGTTCTGTCCGGACTGTAACATCCCGCTGCAGCTGACCAACTTCACCATCATCTTGTCGCACGCCAACTCGGCCCTGAACCCGCTGCTGTACGCCTACAACCTCAAGGACTTCCGCCGGGCCATGTACAGTTTAGTGTGCGTCCGACTGCTGGGCTGCACCGCCGCCGAGCCGGCCGACTGGCTGCGCGCCAAAATTGTCGCCGAACAGGAGGCGCTCCGTCTGCACCGGCAGAGGGCGGGCCGCACGCGCACTCAGTCGGCACCGCTGCCGCGGCCTGTTGAGCTGCTACAGCCACCGCCAGCCGGATACGACCGACAGCTGCCGCTCAACCCTGCCCTGCTGACGGCGAGACCGGCTGGCCGGCCGCCGACACTAGCGACATCTGAACATACAGACCGGCGTGTGGCAGCGCCACCTTTGGGCCGAGAGGCGGCGCTGCTGTCGGCGCCGGCCGTACCGCGGCGGAGGGCACGGTCCGCCGGGGAGGTGGCGAGACCGGCTCGTTCCTACCGCTGGCCGCTCGACCAAGGCTCCATGCGGCAGCGACCGCGCAGCCGCCTGCGCTTCAAGAGCTCTGACAGCTAACGGGTGCGCTGTATGTAGCGGTGGTGGCTCGCTAGACCTGGCTGGCCCAGGACAGTGATCTGTGAACTGTTCGGTAGAACCGGCCATGGCCAGCCTGTGAGCTGACTTACGTGTTTCAATGCTCCAGATGGGTCAATAGCGAGGTGGGGACAGCAATATCATAAACTGAACTCGGAGTGACATGATCAATAGCAAATCCAAGCGCACAAATGTGAGAATCAGAGATCTGGTTGACCCTCGTGCCGGCACATCAGATGTGAGGTCGCTTTTTTGTGAGTCTTTGAATATATCTCAGGCATAAACATCGATATAAATGCATCCCTAGTCAATGAAGTATTGCCACTATACGACACACGATATACGATAGTGATGCCTGCTGTCAGGCAAGAGAACGAGACATATTCGCTTCAAACAAAGTTGAAGTGTGTTGTTTGATTTCATTCCACTTTGTTCAGGTTCTCTAAGTATTCCGTTTAAAGGTAGGTGATAGCAAGCATGGCGTAGAAATAATGATTAGAGCTGACATTAGGCACATAGCAGTGGCCAGTGAGATTTGTAACTGACATGGTGTCAATATTTGTGTTTTTAGTGTTGCACTAGGGTTACCCGCGTGCTCCGCAACGCGAAGAAGGGTTATTTTTGACCCGTGGGTATTGGGTTGGTCTGTGTCGGTTTGGTTGGTATCCATTTCGTTCGATTGCTTTTTGACGGCCAAGCATTTTGTAATAAAACAAAAAGATACATCGCATCGAGGTGCCCGTATCGTATTATCATGCGTTCTACTTAAGAATGATTCGAAAACTGGCGTGAAGTCTTTTGAGGGCCATCGATGATTTTCGGTAAAAATGGCTATGTAGTGGTTTGAAACATTTGCATTTTTTAGAATATTGTTGCTTGTCATGCAAAAATGTTGGGTGTATCTTGGACAAAATTGAATGCTCTTTCAAACGGTACCAGTTTCAATTGCGAAACATATCAGGTTATGCAGCAAAACCAGTGTGAATAATAAAGTTGCACATCATCGACAAACACCATTTTCTTCAGCGATTTGTACCACCTTGGCGTCGCTCAATTAGCTATTCACAATTTTCCCATTAGAGGCGGTACATTTATCTTGCCAACAGACGTTGTTCCAACTCGCTCAGTTTAACGATCACCTAAAAATAAAATCAATTCTAAAATTCGTCAAAAACCGCAATTTTTTCAACAAAAGTACCCTCACGGGTGCACGTGGCACGTGCCATCCTCTGCATTGCACACCATTCAATAGCCCGTTCAATTCTGTACCCGATGCTGTTTTCCCCGTGTCAATCGGGCGCCCGGTTGCCGAAATATTGCACGGGGACCGGACTCGTGTCGGGCAAATTTAGCCGTTTTCGCCCGATTTTGCACGCTGATTTATACATGTAAAGTCTATGACGCGAATTTGCACTTTTTGAGCACGCGCCACGCGCTCCCTATCAACCCGATCGAGGTCAGACCCCTCAAAGGCACGTCGCGCATCCTTGATCTATAAGTTGTGCAAATTTCACCGCGCTAGGTGCAACGGTCTGGCCTGTAGTCCACGCAAAGCACCACCAAGTCGGGACCTCGGTAACGGACAGACGCACCCTCCTCAAATAGTAATATAGACAAGCGGCTGCGCCACTTGCTTTGCTGCGTGGTAGGAAAAAAAACTGCGGCACCAGCCAATTTGCTTTCGAATGGTGTTTGATTCATGTCGATGTGTCGTCTAGAAGCATAGATATGGACGGAAATGTGAAGAGAATTTAAAAAAGAACTGTTCTGAGGGCGTTGTTGGATGAAATTTGGGTGATACGGGGTCAAGACGGGTCAAAGGGGTCAGCCCCGGTCACTTTGGGTCAGGCCAGGTCACATAGGTCACCTCTCGTCCGCTGGGATCAGCCCGGGCCACTGTTCTGCTTTTGTCTCCACCACTACCCCTACCCCTACCACTACCCCTACCACTACCCCTACCCTACCACTACCCCTACCCCTACCCCTACCACTACCCCTACCACTACCCCTACCACTACCCCTACCACTACCCCTACCCCTACCCCTACCCCTACCCCTACCACTACATCTACCCCTACCACTACTACTACCCATACTCCTACCCCTACCACTACCCCTACCCCTACTACTACTCCTACCACTACCCCTACCCCTACCAACACCGCTGGGTCATGTCAGGTCACAGAATAATTCGTGCCATTCTATTGCCCTTACTCGATTTTGTCGGAAATGGCGCTTTGTGGCAAATGTGGCGCATTGCGGCAAATGCAGCGCATCTGTACCTGTTGTTTGAGCATGCACCCTTGCACCAAATTGTACCCTTATCGGGCCATATTTGACAAAACTGTGCGAGCTGCGGCAAAAATGGCGCCCTGTGACCAATGTGACGCATTGCGGCAAACGCGGTTCATTTGTACAATCTTATCACAAACTGTACCCATTTAGCAACAATCAACACATTTTTTCGCCACCATTTATCAAAATCAATAATTTCACCATCCTTCAATGCGAGGCACCCGCCACCGATCGGCATGCATTTAGTCCACAAAGTTTGTCGACCCCGGCTCTCAATGAAGATCTACGAACCGATCAAAATTTCATTGGCGTTCTTCCAGCGCGCCCCACGCGCGAACCGTGCACCCCAGCGAGTCGAAACCTAGAAAAGGCGTTGACCCGCTCTGTCACCTAGAAGGTGTGTAAATTTCAACCCCCTACGATATACCGTCTGCCCTGTAGGCCGGCTAAATTGAACCCACTACACGGCGTGGCGGACAAACAGACAGACAGACAGATGGATCCTGTTCAAATAGTAAGTTAGACAAGCGGCTGCGCCACTTGCTTTGCTGCGTGGTAGGAAAAAATTGAGGCACCAGTCAATTTGCTTTCGAATGGTGTTTGATTCATGTCGATGTGTCGTCTAGAAGCATAGATATGGACGGAAATGTGAAGATAATTTAAAAAAGAACTGTTCTGAGGGCGTTGTTGGATGAAATTTGGGTGATACGGGGTCAAGACGGGTCAAAGGGGTCAGCCCCGGTCGCTTTGGGTCAGGCCAGGTCACATGGTCACCTCTCGTCCGCTGGGATCAGCCCGGGCCACTGTTCTGCTTTTGCCTTCACCACTACCCCTACCACTACCCCTACCCCTACCCCTACCCCTACCCCTACCCCTACCCATACCACTACCCCTACCACTGCATCTACCACTACCACTACCCCTACCCGTCCCCTACCACTACTACTACCCATACTCCTACCCCTACCACTACCCCTACCACTACCCCTACTACTACCCCTACTACTACCCCTACCACTACCCCTACTACTACTCCTACCACTACCCCTACCCCTACCACTACCCCTACCACTACACTACCCCTACCACTACCCCTACCACTACCCCTGCCCCTACCCCTACCAACACCGCTGGGTCATGTCAGGTCACAGAATAATTCGTGCCATTCCATTGCCCTTACTCGATTTTGTCGGAAATGGCGCTTTGTGGCAAATGTGGCGCATTGCGGCAAATGCGGCGCATCTGTACCTGTTGTTTGAGCATGCATCTTGACACCAAATTGCACCCATATCGGACTATATTTGACAAAACTGTGCGATTTGCGGCAAAAATGACGCCCTGAGATAATTGTGGCGCATTGCGGCAAACGCGGTGCATTTGTAAACTCGTATCACAAACTGTTCCTCTGTATATTGATGGAGACAAGTAGAAAAACACGGAAAAACACATGCACTATTTGTTCCGTGTTTTTCTACAAACTGTTCCTATTGAACGAAAATCAACACATTCTTTCGCCACCATTTATCAAAACCAATTTCACCATCCGCCAATGCGAGGCACCCGCCACCGATCGGCATGCATTTAGTCCACAAAGTTTGTCGACCCCGGCTCTCAATGAAGATCTACGAACCGATCAAAATTTCATTGGCGTTCTTCCAGCGCGCCCCACGCGCGAACCGTGCACCCCAGCGAGTCGGAACCTAGAAAAGGCGCTGACCCGCTCTGTCACCTATAAGGTGTGCAAATTTCAACCCCCTACGATATACCGTCTGCCCTGTAGGCCGGCTAAATTGAACCCACTACACGGCGTGGCGGACAAACAGACAGACAGACAGATGGATCCTGTTCAAATAGTAATATAGATGTCGTCGTATCGAGCTTCCGAGCGTATGGCTCTCCTTGACTGGACAATAAATGCCTCTTGTCGTATGTAAGGGTAATGGAGGTCCGAGGTAATCATACCAAGTATGTACATTGGTTTGCAAGACAGCCGCGTCAAAATGACATTAATTCGCCCTTTTATTTTGCATCTTAACGACACAACTAAACCAGTAAAACGCCTTTCGGGGCGACCAACGGGGCGAGCGAGAGGGTGGGCCTTGCAACGTACGAAATTGCGAGGGGGTACCTCCAACTGACTTGTGCACGGCACCCTACTAACCGGTCTCTAGCGATGTGCCAAATTTGAGGCCCAGCCATTCTCGAGATCTGGAAGCGGCACCCTGCACATGCGCACGTGCAAAATGGGTCCCAACTGACCCTTGAACGGCACCCTACTAAACGGTCCCTAACCATGTACCGAATTTCAGCGCTTCAGTTGTTCTCGAGACCTGGAATCGACCCCTGCACGTGCGCACGTGCAGCAGCACCCCAACAGTGGTACATGGATATGCATTGCCTGGTGGGTGCCTGCTGCCTACCCACATGCCAACTGTCAGCGCAATCGGCCCAGTACATAGTTACCGAGATATTGCAATTGTTACGAAACTGACACCTCTTCGTTTTGCACGTGGCACGTCACGTGCATAAGGGGTCGCCCACATGCATCGGGAATAGTTCAATGCTTGGACGGTAGAAGGAATGAAGCTACCGCACAAAAATTACCGCATGCAAATAGGTCAAGTGGCTGCGGAGATACAAGCTTCGCAAAAGCCTGACCACCGCTCATTCTCAGAAATTTCCGTTAACCCTCGCCCGCACATGGGGGGGGGGGGGTGGTTGTCACCCCCCAGGTAGTCTTTCTGCTCTGCACTCAACATTTTTAGAGCTAGAAGGCTCATTTTTCGCATAGCTGCTCCTCTATCCTTTTTTGATGTCCACTGAAAATTTCAAGTTTCTGTGGTTATTGGTTTCGGAGATATGACCTTGCTTTTCAGGTCATGTCATGACCCAAATGGCCAATTCTCGACATCTTGTGTCGGCTATGGGCCTTGTGAGCTTTTGACACCTTGATTTCGGCCTTTTTTACCAGTCTTACCCCCACCTATCATGGAACATGTTGTTCGACGATGTAGGTACAGATGTCAAGGTCAAGGTCAAGGTCAACCTAGGTCATCTAAGATAATTGCGTTTTAGGCAAGCGGAATTTACTTTTTGTGAAGTTTTTTGACTGCATTTTTGGTAAAAGCTTCTCAGATCATGATTTCATGTAGGGGAGATCCGTGTAAGACGCCCAGGGTCGGTAAGAGGCCTCATCGCTTTTTTTACCAAACCAATAATGTTATTTATTTTTTTAATGTTCTTGTAAAGCAGAAGCCCTCTTGAAACAACAACTCACGAAACCTGAGGTATCAGGTGCGTCGCAGCGACTTTTGGTAAGCCTGTTTCTGTTTTTGCCCCTTTACTTGCTAGATATATGCATCTTTATCACCCTTATATATCTGAAAAAACAATGGCTATCAAATGCAATCTTTTCTCATCGAAATTGTCACATGTTAGCTTCAGAATAGACCATGTTCTGGTGCGCTGCAAATGTCTCACAAACCATAAATATTGTGGACGTTAAAACACTGTATTTTTTTAAGAGGCCCTCCCTTCGAGGATGATAAAACGCCCCCCGATAAAAAACGCCCCTGATGCTAAAACGCCTGCACCTGCGGCAGGCGTGGCATTCTTTTTTCAAGGAGTTTGTTTTTGTTTCTTTTCTTAGAGGTAATAGGTACAATTTTCGTTGGTCATCAGCGTTTGGTTGTGCTAGTTTTCGCATTGTTCGAGCGCTTTGGAAGTGTTTTTGGTTTCGGTAACACCATATTTGCTTAGCTTTTCGAAATAAAAGGCCTTGCAGCTGTGTTCGCAAAAAGTCTTTTACAAGTCGACCTGACTTTTAAAACGCCCGAGGGGGGGGGGCGTCTTACCATACCCATAGTGTAAGAGGCCCTTTTGCAACTTTTTCCAAAATGTTAAAGTTTACGGTTTGTGTACCCCCTAGATTCATTTTGAATGCAAATATGTATGGGAAAATGATGCATGCTCACAGCGCATGCACACGTTAGCTCTTAAATATTATCAGTTGTCTAAAAATAGCAACTGAGCTTAAGGGGGGGCCTCCTGCACCACTCTCCCCTAATATGGACACATAAACAATCGGTGCACACATCAGTACCTATACACACAGACACACACAGACATACAAACACATATCATTGACCTTGACCTAACTTGACCTGAAATGACCTCAGCAGCAAAAACCTGGTCGGGTAGTGTGACAAAGAGGTTCTAGCTGGCTTGGCACCAGAAAACGGCATCGTCATCCGTATATGCTCAGCAGCGCACTTGATATCCAACGGTGACCCAAAACAGCAACATTTTTTTAGTTTGACGCCACCTTTTTACCAACGCCACCTTCTGCACGTGTCGCTACGTGGCCCAGAAGCCGAGTTAGGAAGGGGGTGTTCAGTGTTCCCCCCCCCCAGCAGACGTGGAAATCCAGGACCCCCAGCGGGGCAGGGGTTAATAAAGGAAATATAGGTATCACTTTAAACATGAAGTTTTGAACTGGAATAGCAGTTTTGTAGCATGAGCAGAGACTAGCACGAATCAGGAGCTTTTACGCCCCAACGATCACCCATAACGAAGACATTCCATTTCTCGTTCGGAAAAGAGTACCTTTAGAGTAATGTCATACCTTGTAGAAGAATGCCAAGAAAGCAGCCACCTGTCGCAGAGGCTAAGCTCAGCCAATCTGCATGCAGTTGTTTTTGAACAAGACAGTATTATTGGTTAACTAATATTATTCATAAGCTTCCGCGCCACCACTAGGTAGGTATTTAGCCTCCACAATTGACGCAATATAGTTCTTAAAAATTTCTCTTGTAAATATTAATCATTTTCTTTTCCGATTATTTTGAGTATCAAAAATCATTAAACTGGTACTTAAGGGAAAGCGGTACTAATTTAGTACCGCTTTCCCTGTAATACCTATGTTGGTATAGGTACGTTTAAAACGTACCTATACCAACATATTACATACCTATCTATTTTTGCTTGGGACATCAACACTTCGTTCGGCAGCCGCTAAAAATGTATTATATTACAGTGAACGCATCGACACTCAGAGATGCGCACACTGAGCAGAGATGAATAAAACTCAAAAGCTGTCACCTATTACGCGATGTCTAGCTGTCACCAACTTTTATACAAGTCATCTTGAAACAGTAGGTAACATATTGTTTGCCGTTTTCTCATCACCTTTGTAGACCTAAAAAATGAAAAGGAGGCTAGAATGTTAGAAAGAAACTGACCTTTCAAATTTCGTCCTCTGGGCATTACAACGCATCACCACATTTTGCAGAGCAACAACAAAAAAAAAATAATCACTATCGCTGCATAAATTAACTTACCTAGGTCTGATCGACTTCCTAGCTCGTCCTGGCTTTCTGATCCACTTTGACTTCAATCAAAACTCACGAAAGGATCGTTAGTTGTCAGTGATTCACTTGCCTTTGCCTCAGTATAGTCAGAACCAATTAAGCTTCCGCGCCACCACTAGGTAGGTATTTAGCCTCCACAATTGACGCAATATAGTTCTTAAAAATTTCTCTTGTAAATATTAATCATTTTCTTTTCCGATTATTTTGAGTATCAAAAATCATTAAACTGGTACTTAAGGGAAAGCGGTACTAATTTAGTACCGCTTTCCCTGTAATACCTATGTTGGTATAGGTACGTTTAAAACGTACCTATACCAACATATTACATACCTATCTATTTTTGCTTGGGACATCAACACTTCGTTCGGCAGCCGCTAAAAATGTATTATATTACAGTGAACGCATCGACACTCAGAGGTGCGCACACTGAGCAGAGATGAATAAAACTCAAAAGCTGTCACCTATTACGCGATGTCTAGCTGTCACCAACTTTTATACAAGTCATCTTGAAACAGTAGGTAACATATTGTTTGCCGTTTTCTCATCACCTTTGTAGACCTAAAAAATGAAAAGGAGGCTAGAATGTTAGAAAGAAACTGACCTTTCAAATTTCGTCCTCTGGGCATTACAACGCATCACCACATTTTGCAGAGCAACAAAAAAAAAATAATCACTATCGCTGCATAAATTAACTTACCTAGGTCTGATCGACTTCCTAGCTCGTCCTGGCTTTCTGATCCACTTTGACTTCAATCAAAACTCACGAAAGGATCGTTAGTTGTCAGTGATTCACTTGCCTTTGCCTCAGTATAGTCAGAACCAATTATCAACGCTCCCACCAAGTTTTTGGGACCGATGGTCATAGATTTCGCCCCAGTTGTGGTGTGGCTCAGATGTAACCTCCCCCGTCCCAGTCGGCAGTCGCCCAGTCCCTCCCTACTCCGACGGCGGCCAAGGCCGCGCCGGTCCCCGCTGCCGCTCAACCGGCGACGGGCGGGGACGAGCTGTCGCCGCTTTCGCCGTTTTTCCTGCGCTGTCTATGGCGTTTCACAACGCATGTCGGCTGTTGCACCGGCGGGATTTTTCAGCCCCAGCTGTCTTCAAAGAGATGACGCTGTTAAATCTTTGTGCCGTGGTCCATAGTGGCCCTATGGGCAGACAGCTCGGATTTTAGCGGAAACGGCCTAGTTATCTGTTTTAAATGCATCAACTGAGATGCTCGAATCTGTCCCTTTATTCCTATGTCACCTACGCACGCAGGCGAGTAGCAAGTTTTTCACCTCTGACACTGATTTACTTAAACCGTAACAACACCGCTGACGTAGTCATCCTGCGCTGGACTGTCTGAAGAAATTACGCAGAGACGGCTGGCGCCATCACCTTTCTACATGTTGGTACATAGGGCCTAAGAGAGCTGAGGCTTCAGAACAATCTCGCCCTGGATGTGGCCGTATATCCCCTCACAGCAATCGTACTGCCGTTCTTTGTAGGCGAGCGATGTCGACTCGACCGCCCAGCGTCCGTTGTTGATCATCTCGTCGGTGTTGATGGTCTTGCTCTTCAGCACCAGCTCCATCTCCTCGACGTTGTGCGTCCAGGAGCCCAGTTTGAAGGGACAGGTGACGCGGTCCTGTGTGTCGGTCCGCCGGCGCTGGCAGCGCACCGTGAAGCTCACCGGCGGCACGAACACCACTTTGCCGGTCTGGTGGACGATCGCCGGCATCGACAAGAACCAGTTGGACGTCACAGGCACCCGGTCGTAGACGGCCAGGTCCGGTCTCCAGATGTTGACCGCAAATACGCGCGTACTTGTCACATTGCCACCGCTCCAACCCAATCGATTGTCGAGCCACTCATGATGCAGCCAGGCACCCAGCGTCGCCGTGTTGTCAGCCTCGTGGAAATCCACGTCAACCAGAGTAAGTTCGATGCTGACGCTAATCTGCTCCGATGGGTTGGACACCGGTCTCACCATCAGGTGCCGCATAGGACTGGTCAGAGAGGGGATGTAGAGCTCCTCATTTGCCCCAGTATCGCTGCTGGCGAGACCGGCCAACGCCACCAGTAGTGAGATGGTCAAGCGAGACATATCAGCTCAGATCGTCACGTCAGGCCTCTGTGGACTCTGTCAGTCCTCCCAAATGCTGTTCGGTGGTCCTCCTCCAGTCCTCTGTCGGCTCCGACTCCGGATGGCGGCACAGCAATCAACAGAGACAGCCCTCGTTCAGCGGCTCTTGACGAACTGCAGGTCAGTTTGTCTTACACACGACTTATATTTGCCTTCAAGATGCAAACACATGTACTTCAAAATCGCTGTGACCTTTCACTGGCCTGGGCCCTGGGGTTGTGTAAGCTTTGCGCCAAGGACAGCTCAGTCTTAAATAAACATGGTCACTAGGCCCATTCGGTATTTCAGTCGATATGTTCAACCCGCGCCCTGGTGGGGTCTGTTTATAACGCGGCCTGGTGTGTGTGTGTTGGGGGGGGGCATTTTTGCCCCCCCCGTATCTCCGAAACTTCTGGACGGATCCGCAACATTCAAACGAGGTTCGAAAGCCCTGTCAAATCTGTTAAAAGAACTCCAATTTTATTTAACTCGGAGTCACCGATGACGTCACAGGTCAGGTCAAAGATAAAGTGTTTTGCCGCTCACGAGTCTTCTAGGGAATGCGCCATAACATAGCGCCATTTTTGGAATTTTGGCTATTATATTATTTTTTTGGTGTTCAAAATAAAAAAATACCTAATAAAAATTTCGAGGAACAGTTAGTAGCCCTGGCAATTCTACACCTTTTATATCTTAAACGTTTTTCTGTATCTTCAAAGCTATAGCCCTGACAGCTCTTCCCGCGAAACCTTTTTTCGGGTCGAAAATGGCAGAACATGACGTCACTCTGACGTCATTTACGGCCAAACTATCATAGTCTTTGGAAAAATGTTTGGTCGCAATGTGTACAATTGATACCCGGGAGGGCACTGAAAGTTTAGTGACGGCGCAGCGGTTCTGGAGATATATCGAAAAGTCTGGGGGGGGGGACAAAAATAGCCCCCATCCGCCTTTTCCAAACAAAGTATGAGTCATTCGACGCGGCTTGAAAAGACGAATTCGTTGGTACGGTACCACTGCAATAGCTCTAGGACCATTTTTGTTGAAATTATTTGCAAAGAAATAAAACCCCAGCTTGGGGTCGTTGGCCTGATTTCTGACCTCGTGTCACCGAAACTATTTTTTATTTTTCCCTAGATCAAATGCTACCTAACCGTGCTCATAATTTGTCTTTATCTCTAAAACTATTTTTGGCAGCTATTTGAACTTCGACTGTGATGCCGAGTTTTACCTGCAAGAGTCTATAGAAAAATCGACCCCATGTGATGTCATCAAGAGGGCTAAGCCCAATTCTTTTTACTTCACAAGATGACATATTAAAGGGGAAAAAGAGACATAAAGTTTAGCTTTACTATCCCGAAGTGTTCGGGAGCTATCGCTAATATTCGGGAGGGGATGGAGGCGAAAATGCTCCCAGGGCCCGCGAGGGTTAACAATCTATGCTGCTATGCTGACAGCTTTGAGCTTTGAAGGCTGATTGCTGCCATTCACGCCTCGCTTTTATTGGAGTCATGGGTGCCGCACGAAAACTAAATGGGAGAGCAGCTTGGAAAACAAAGAAAATGTAGCTTGGCGACCTTTTCTTGCCTGTTGTGTGTGTTTACGAAAACAGTGTCTTTGCAATGGACAGGATTTTCCCAGCATTCGTATCACGAAATGCACACAACATAACGCTCCCTGTTGTCGACACATGTATTTCATTAACACCGCACGAAATGTATGTTTATAGTTCATACCTATCTGGTCGGAAGAGCCTATTTTTACCTGGGACAAAAATATGAGCTTCTAAATCCACGGCTCAGGAATCGTCGAATGATGATGAGTTAGCCCTTTAGAGGGCCCGCCAGCTGAAGAGGCTGTTTCACTCTACAGTGAGTCGTCATTTAAGTCAATGCCATCTCCGTCGCATGTTGACGGCAGAGCCGCAACTATAATCGGCCACCTTGCCTGGTTCACACGTTCGACAACGCTTGATCGATTTGTCCGTCCTACCTGTCTGGTTCTCCCGTCCGTCCTGTCTAGTTCACCCATCTGTCCTGTCTGGTTTATCCGTTTGTTCTGTCTGGTTCCCCTGTCCGTCGCGTCTCGCTCTGCCGTCCGATCGGCACTAGCCAGTCGGCCCCACCGTGGGCTGAGCCTACACATCCCGACCGTCGCCGGTCAGCTGCGGCAGACTGACATACCCTGCGGCGCTGTGCGTCCCCGCCGGCGCTGTGGGAGAGTCGGGCGTCTCCGGCGGCTCCTGGTCACGCTGAGCGGCAGCCGCCGTCTGCGCCGCGCTCAGAAACGCCACGTCCGAGCCCGTAGAGGTAGGACTGAGCAAGGAGCCTTGCCCGCCGCCCGCGCGCCGCCGCGGCCTGGCCAGTAGCCGGCAGCCAGCCGCCGTCAGGCACACCAGCAGCAGCAGGCCGGCCGGCGCGGCCACGGCCAGCAGGCTGACGTAGCTGCGCCGCCGGCCGCGCCGCCGCAAAAAGCCGGCCGGCGCGGTGGTGACGCGCAGAGAGCTCAGCCCGATCACGTGCTGCCGCCGCCGCAGACCCAGCCGGAACGTGTAGTTGTGTGCGGGCCGCAGTCGTGAGAATGTGAACGACTGGGGCGGCACGCCGGCGCTGGTGACCAGGTAGGAGGTGTTGCCACCCGAGTAGCCGGCCTCCTGCTGTAGCAGGATGGTGTCCACGCTGCCGCCGCGCACCTCCCACGACACCGTCACGAAGGTGGACGTCACCGACACGGGCACCAGCGTCACGTGCGGCGCGCGCACGTGCAGGTGGACAGCGCGCCGAGCGGTGCCCAGCTCGCTGTGCGCGGTGCACGTGTAAACACCCGAGTCCTCGGCGTGCAGGTAGAGCAAGACCAGGGTACCGTCGCGGAGGCAGGCGCGTCGTCGGCAGACGCCGTCCGCCAGGAGGCCGCCGCCGGGCAGGGTCCAGTCGAGTTGCGGTGCTGGCAGTCCGGTGGCGGCGCACGCCAGCCGCGTCGTGTCTCCCAGCTGGGCGGTCAGCTGACGCTCCTGCAGGGGCAGCACGAATGGAGCGCACCGCTCCGGCGGCCGGTCTGTGCAGCTGAGCTCGGGCGCACCGGACCGCCACAGCCAGCGCACGGAACAGTCGCAGCGCAAGGGGTTGCCGCCGAGACTGACCCGCATCGCTGAGGGTGTGCCCGGCGGCGCGGCCAGAGTTAGCAGCGCGCAGTCGGTGAGCAGGAGGTGGCGCAGCCGCGGCACCCGGCGGCAGAACTGCGGGTGCACAAACTGCAGCCGCGGGCTGCCGGACAGGTCGAGCCGCTCCAGCTGCGGCAGCTCGGAGACGGAGCTCCGCGACAGCTGGCGCAGCTCCGGCGCCACGCGCAGCCGCACCTCGCGCACGCTCAGCTTGCGCAGCGCGCCGGTCTCCAGCTGCGGCAGCGGACTGCCGCTCAGATCCAGCACGGCCGCCCATTTGAGCGCCATCAACGCCGCCGTCGGCAGCCGCCGAAACACGTTCGCCGACAGGTCCAGTGTCTGCACGCGCAGAGAGCGGAGCGCGTCCGTCGACAGACGGCTCAGCCGATTGTGGGACAGATCGAGCAGGGTGAGCTCGCGCGTGCCGACCAGCGGGCCGCGAGCTAAGTGCTGCAGCTCGTTGTGCGACAGATCAAGCTGGCGTAGCTCGGTTAGATCAATCAGGGTGAACCTGGACAGCGAGCTGAGGCGATTGTGGGACATATTGAGCGCAGTGAGTCGCGGCAGCACCAGCCCCGTGTCTGCCACCAGCGACACCCTATTGTGCGACAGGTCGAGCTCGCGTAGCGCCGCCAGACTGCGGAACATGCTCTCGGTGACGGCCGACAGGCCGTTGTGGCTGAGGTCGAGCTGGCGGAGCGCGGGCAGCGTCAGTCCGGCGCCGGAGACGCTGGTGACGCCGGCACCGCTGCAGTCGAGCCGGCCCAGCCGCGGCAGCCGGCGCAGTCGGTCCAGCGCCAGCCGCTGCAGCCGGCTGCCGTGCAGCAGCAGCGCCGTGGTGTTGAAGGAGAGGCCGGCAGGCAGCGCGGTCAGGTTGCGGCCCTCGCAGTGCGCCACGGTGCCCACGTATCGGCAGGGCGAGTCGACGGCAGCCGCGGCGCCGTGCGCCAACACCAGCGGCAGCAGCAGCAGTATAGGGGACCGTCGGCGCATCCTGCTGCAGCCGTACCGACTGCCCGGCTACTCTGTAGTGATCCTCAGTGCCGTCACAGCCACCCTGAAACGGTGAAAGGCGGCTTACCACATGTGCATGATGAGCATATCATTTCCACATAAATCGCCCACCAATTGTATAATATGTTTCCGCAGACCGCGGCGCATACCTCATTTGTCATCACATACCTATCAAAATTACATGCTCGGATCAGTCGGATTCTACCTACCGTACCTCTCCTCTTCTCTCTCTCTCTCTCTCTCTCTCTCCCTCTCTCTCTCTCTCTCTCTCTCTCTCTCTCTCTCTCTCTCTCTCTCTCTCTCTCTCTCTCTCTCTCTCTCTCTCTCTCTCTCTCTCTCTCTCCGCAACAGTCCACCGGCGTAGGTCGTCTTTTAAAACCATTTACGTTCAGCGTGTAACCTGATCCACTATACATCCCAGTGCGAAACGTTATACCGTATTGATAAGAGCTGTGTGGGCCGCTTTTCCCTATGGCCCCGAACTGCGGTGGATAACGGGCGAAATGAGCCAGAGGGCGAACGACCAGCGCATCAGCCAACAGGTGCACCAAATGGGGTGGAATCATGAAACGGGATGAGAATGGATCTCAACGAGAGGAGAGGAGAGGAGAGGAGAGGAGAGGAGAGGAGAGGAGAGGAGAGGAGAGGAGAGGAGAGAGAGAGAGAGAGAGAGAGAGAGAGAGAGAGAGAGAGAGAGAGAGAGAGAGAGAGAGAGAGAGAGAGAGAGAGAGAGAGAGAGAGAGAGAGAGAGAGAGAGAGAGAGAGAGAGAGAGAGAGAGAGAGAGAGAGAGAGAGAGAGAGAACTTATTGGAAGACGCACCGGGACTGGGACCACGACCGTTAATGTATGTATCAGCATAATAATTTATGTTGCTGACGACCTGGTCACTATGTGCAAGGCAATATTATCCAATAACAGATGCTTCGGGACCATAGGTCGTGCATTAGCACAGGTCTCTCGGTCTCTCGGGGAAGGTTATGGACGGCAAATAGCGAGCGAATCGAGCCCACGCTACCTCCGGCGTATCAACCAGGCTGAATTTAATTATCCAGCGGGTTACGATGAAAGTGTGGGATGCCTTCATCGAGTTTCGCCGAGCACACGCTCGCTGATCGTATTAACCACAGCGACACCGATATGGAAAACGGGATGAATTTCACATCAGCGCAGCTGCAAACGGGAAATTAGTCCGATTTCAGAGACACACATGTTAGGGACATGGTGGTCTGGGATGACACTGAACGGTCGATTACGCTAAATTTTCGGGTAAAAACAAGCAGGCTCCTTTAGTTCGGGTAACGTAGCAACGTTTTGCCTGGAACGGTTTGTTACCCACTCGATTGAGTGCAATGTTTTCATTGCTCTGATAGATGCCCATAGATTTCACTCGGTTCTTGTTCTTTTACTCGTGGAGGTTGGGACTGTGCCACTTCGGGAGGCTCGAGCCCACACCTTCCCCGCCTCCAATACCCATGACTTTTAACAGTTTACATATAATTCATTTTCACGTAGGTATAGGCACTTGTATCAGCAAACGCAGACAGTGATTTGCTCCAGCCCTAATTTATTGGCATTTTGAACCAAGTCCAAGGTCACAAATGATTGACACCGTAAAACGGCAAATAAGTGTATAATAAGGAGCCATCAAGGCCAAGTGTCTGAAGGCTAAGCGATCCCGTTGAATACCGCAGGTGCCTCTTACCATGCTTTCAAGCAAACATGCATCATTGCCTATTGCCTAAGGACCAAGGCACTCAGAAGTCAGGATTCAGGAATCTACAATAATTGGTAAGAAATATATATAGCCAGGAGGAAGATCAGTTATCATTCTCAATCATTCTCAAAGTATAATTTATACAAAGTTGGTGTGAAAAAGCCTACACAAAGTCGAAAGGAACAAAGATGTCCCGCCGCGCTGGTCTGGCGGCGCGGTAGCGCGGCGGCACGGTGGCTCAGCATGCTGTGCCGCTGAGCTTACGTGTAGTGCGGTGCAGCATACCTAGTACCTACGCAGTGCCCGAGCTGAAGCATATGATGAAGAGCTTTTACCGAACATTTTTGGTTTGGCGTCGGGAGGGGAGGGGGACTGAGGGATCGAGGGTGCTCTGTAAAGCGCGGTTTAATTCGGTGCCGCAGGGGTGAAAAATTGTATCGTTTTGTCGTTGTCGACGACAACCGATAAGACGATCTTATGGCGACCACGCGCAGCGCCTGAACTGATTAACTCCTTCCGCGGTTAGATGCGCACAATCCATCCACCTCTGCCCACGCAACCCAATCGCCTCTGTCCCTCCCCATCACATCTACTCACGCAGTTCTCGAGTCCGTTACCTCCGGCGTACGCGGCGGCATCCCAGTGGAAAATTTCCTGGTAGCTACAGACATATTCCAACTCCCCGTAGCTATTTAGTATATACTGCGTCGTTCGACCATCGTTCGGACGGCCGATCGGCGACCCTCATAAAGACGACCAATGGCATACCAAGTGGTCGCCGTGGTTGTCCGCTGGCAACACGTGTCTGGCAAATCTAGTACATTCCAGGACTCGGCCGGCCCCTGTGCGCACCCTTCAGCGCCGCCCCCCGCCCGGCGGCCAGTTAGCGTCCCCTCCAATCCGCCGGGGCTCCTTTTGTGACGTCAAAACCCACCCCGGTGGCGCCTGGGGGTAGGTCCGCGGCGGGACATCTTGAGTGGGACCGTGTCAGTGCCGGTAATGTTTTGATGAGGCCGAGGGGAGGGCACGCTATGTCATGCCCACGAGGATGAAGGACTTCCGAGGTCGAGGGACACGAACCCGGTTTACATAGCATATTTGACGAGGCTCTAGCTCGTTAATTTGGCGATAATTTCGATGCAGTGGTCTTCAAATATTTAGAGGGGATCATTTTGTAAATTGTTCAGCACCATTGGCATCTTTTGCAACATCACGGACGGAGATATAAGCTTGCAACAAACCCTATGTAAACCGGGTTACGGATCGTCGGACAATTGAGGCTGACGGCTGAGCACCCTGCGCTATCAAAAAGGAGCGGAATTATAATATATTCGCACGCAGGGTCCGTGGCGTCTGCACGACTGAAATGTACCAACTTGAGCGCGTTTTGTTCAAAGGTGAGTGGAAGTCGACCAGTGGCACCGTCGAAGGGTCACCGAAAGAGTCAAAACTCAAAAGGGCTATCTAATCTTTTCCGTGGCGTTGTATAGCTCTATATAATTGGCTCCCGAGTTGTGCGTCGGTGTAAAAAAAAATTGAAAGGCAATATCTTCCATTTAATGACCTCTGGTGACCTGACCTATGACGTAGCCTATAAAACGAATGTCATATTTTCGTCGCCCTTATTTTGGACGGTCTTTCGAATGCCGTTTACTGCTTGTCACTACGTGAACCAAGATCCGAGTTAAAAGGGCGGGTGCTTGACCCCCCCCCCCCCTCCCGAGCAGGGCGTGGAAATCAAGGACCCTCAGCGGGGTGCGGGTTAGATATCTTGAGTTGACAACCAAATAAACCCGTTTGCCTTTGGACGACAACCACCGAAACACTTTTTTCAGCCCTGAATCGGTGGTGAGATGTTGTCTAAATTTCAGCTGTCTAGAAATTGGTATACATTTCACTTGGCTTCTGATGGGCGAGGCTGGCCTAGGCTAGAAATTTGCAAATATAAACTATCATGCAGCACATAGCGTTTCGGTGGCCAATAATTTGACAGACATATTTTCGTATGCTTATTTAGTAAATGTTCGAAGTTCAAACGTTCAAACGAAGGCGGAAGGGGCCTGCTGATTACGAGCCAATGGAAGCCAGCACACACAGCCGCTATCAGGGTTCAGAAGTGGCCAATACCCTAATTTTCGACAAATTTTAAAGCGTGCTTTTCTCACATTTTCTGGTCGTAAATTGATCAGACTGTATAACATATCATCCAGAAAAAATATTACTCATTCTGGCACAGATTGGTGGGCTCCCAAAGTACACCGTTTTGTTTTGTTCCGTGAGACCGAACTTGTGCTGCGATTTTCATGTAAATGTTGACGAGTCTCCTGTCATATTCTTTGCTTGAAAATGCGTAAGTAAGATATCAGCTGAAAGGGGAAAATGTGAGGAATCTATTGGTAACAAAAGTGCATCCAAAAAACTTCCCAATCAGTTATTGTAAGCTAGTTGTTGCACACTTGCACAAAGCAGAAGGGCTTGAGGATTTCAATATTTACATAGGCCTACCAAAAAACGCACAACGTGCTTCACATCGAGACAACGTCCATAACATATACCGTACAATTGTGATTCATTTGCTGAAAAAATTAGGTCGGCATCACACTGCCGGCAAAAGTTATTACAGTTCTAGTGACGCTAGGTCGCCGCCCGGCCGACCCCGGTCAGGTCGGCCGGGCGGCGGCCGTGCAGCTGACGTCTGTGCGGTTCGGCAGCTGACCAATCAGCTGCGAGAGAGGAGCGCGGTCCTTCTAATCGCCCCCGGCAGTTACTTGTGCGGAGGGGCAGGGCCTATTTTAACATGTTAACTGGGGTGGCAAAACCCACCCCAGTGGTGCGGTTTTCCACCCCAGTCGTCTTGCTTTGCCACCCCAGTGCAAAACAGCCCAAAAGTCTGCCCACAAATATTGGCTGCCGACAATCACGGAGGCGACACATTCTTGGGGCGAACTCAGCTTGACAGGGGGAAAAGGGCTCACTGAGGCGCCACCACCACCAATGGGATGCCCTCTCACTACTGGGGGCGCCCTGCCGCAACTGTGGCGCCCTACTTTTTTTTTATAAATTTAGCTTGAATGTTTGAATGGACGGATTGACAGAGCCGGAGCCCACGCTAAGCAGAGCTTGTTGCGTAGACCCCGACCCCTACCGTCTGATCGCGCAATTCCGGGTAACGGAATAATTTAGATGCCTAAGTTTAACGTGCCCTTCAAAGCCGGACACAACCTGTCCCACTCAACTGACTTCAACTGGCTGCGGCTGCTCCCACCAACCACAGACCATCCCCTCAGGAGTCTCAAATATCGAGCACCGGAGCGACTCGAACCCGGGCTCTCACTACCGGGAGTCCGGTGCTCTACCAACTGAGCTATGGGACTCTCTAATTCGATTGGGACACACTACCGGCAATGGGGCGCCCTACCAGCACTTGGGCGCCTACCACGACTGAAGAGCCCTATCAACATTCGGGCGCCCAGACACGATTGGGGCGCCACACCACTACTGGGGCGCCAACTGCACCTTTGGGAGCCCTATCAGTATCGGCCGCAAAATTAAATTTGTCATGTGGCTATGAGACAGGCCGTGTGATCAACAATGGATTTTCAAACGCACGTGCACGCATTGCTTCTGACGAGGGTATTTCCAAGAGAAAAATCTGGCGGGCGGCGGTTTAACCCGCGCCCCACTGGGGGTCCTGGATTTCCACGCCCTGCTGGGGGAGGGGGGCGGGGATTTGAACACCCCCCTTCTAAGTCGGCTCCTGGGCCAAGTAGCGACACGCGGTAAGCGGCATCCGAAAGGACGTCAAAAACCATGACGAAAATACCCACTTGTTATTTTTTTAGGTCAGGTCAAAGGTCAGGTCACCAAAGGTCATCAAAGGTCAAATTTTGTTATTTCAACATTTTTCGAAACTGCCGACGGACAACTCGGGAACCAATAGAGCTACAGCGCCGCGGAAAAGCGCAATCGATAGCTCTTTTACAGGGCTTTCTGAATAATGTTCTCAGGTTTGACCTCAGGTCAACGGTTTAGCCTCCAGAGTGCAAAAACTTCGTTTTCTTCAATAACTTTTGACTCAAGAGAGACACGACAGTATTTTTGCCAGCATGGTGTTCCTCTCGTCTAGACGCGTCGAATGAACTATAATTTGACCTTGAAAGGTCAACTTGAAAATTTGACTACAGGTCAAGGTAATGACCTGACCGGAAAAGGTCGTGCTGCATATCAGTCGATCCGCAACGTCGAGCCGAACACATCTAAGGCGTTTTCATCGCTCTAGCTTGCCTCTATCAGAAGTTATTAGCGAAAAACTGTTAGATACCATTCGTGACCTGATATGACCTCGGGGGCATAACGAGGGGTCACGGGTGCCATTTTCTGGTTCAGCGTGTCATGTTAACTCGTAACTTAGTGTTTGAAAATGTTTAGAATGGCGTTCGTCTAAAAGAGGCGCTTTTCAATTTTCTCCCATTGACTTATACCTAATGGAGAGGTCGAAAAATTGACCTGACCTTAGGTCATCGATATCGAAATTTCAAGATAAAGTGACCTCGAGTGACGCCGGCTGCTTGGTATGGGAAGGTGTTTATCATGGACGGATCGGGGGGGGGGGGGATTTGAGGGCCATCGGCATAAGCAGTAAAAGTTCTCTGACGAAAGGGGGTTGCACCATGCACAGCCGACTTTTGGCTTAATTCTTTCCATGCATCGCCCGAAAGGGCTATGTTAGAAAAAAAACTATGCCAACAAAGGCCTCCAGACACTTTCCCGAAACGTTAGTCCTTACGTACTACCGTCACAAAGAAAAGATTCTGAGACTCGATTGCGACGCCCCCCCCCCCCATCGAAATGCTGCGCACAGCAGTATTTCGGTGGGGGGGGGGGCGCCAACACAAGAGACAGGGGCGCCACCACTGCCTGGCCACCCCAGTCCAATTGTCTTAAAATAGGCCCTGCGGAGGGGTGTTCGACGCTCGTGTCGATTGCATTTGTTGGTTGTCGATTGTCGATTGACTTGTGGGTATACTTTCTGGTGACCAATAGATGTACGTCGTCTTAACTGAATGTAGTCCGATCAAATTCAATAAAGCAAAAAGACATCCAGCCAACAGAACATCGTAAGAATGTCCGATATGGTTGATAACATTCAGAGTTTTGGGGAGCAGCCATCGACCAGAATGAACCTTATTGGCTTTGGTATTTAACATTTGCATTGCTTTTGGAAAGTTTCAGTCAGATATCTTCAGAAATGGCAATGTTATCGGCTTTTGCATTTTACCGTAGTCGGTTAATCACAATTTTCGATATTGCAAAGGCAATTTCAGTACATTCTTGACATCGAAAACCAAAACGAATAGCATCATCGTGTTCCAGAGCTCAAATTGCATCCGATGCACAACTTTTTTGTTGAGAATGTTCAACTTCAAAATTTGACCCTTTTGACCTCGCCGTGACCTGACCTTCATTTGTCGAAAGGAAATAGTTTCGAATCGGACGACCCAGATGACATCATTTTTAGATGCTTTTGCCGAAATGGACCATTAAAGATGTGTCGCATGACCTTAAAAATGTATACATTTCCTTCCATGACCTTTGTGACCCATGACCTTTCCATGACCTTTTGTGACAAAGTTAGGTTTCGTTTGCCAGCTATTCCTATCAGAAGCCGTTTGAATTTTTAGTATTGAACGAGTAGTTTCGAAGACAGCATGGGGAAGCTATGCAGAATCCCCTCCCGAGTCACCCGTTATGGGATATACCAGTTATCCACGGATTACAAGCAAAAATATTTTTACGGCAATGCTGGATCAGCAGGATGCTCATACGTTTCCATACGTGACCTTAAGGTTTACTTCACATATAATAAAAATTCCTTGGCAAAATGTCAACTGGTTAACGAGTTATCGCATTTTGGCCACTTCCGAACTCAAATAGCGGCTGTGTGCAGCAGTGCGAGCTGAGTGAGGAAGTGAAGCGAGGTACCGTCTACCGAAACTTTCACAGCCTGCGGCGATGACGTCTCTGAGCTTATACCTATCCTCCTTGTCGATACCGGTTGAGCCAGAGGGCACACACAGTTCCGGGTCATTAGTGTTTCGTCATCTGCAAACAAAAGCATTTTGACGCATATGGAGAACTTGAGCCAAGTAAGCTCGATGGAAGAGTTCGCTATTTAAAAAGAAAACAAGTTTAGCAGCTATAAAACGGAGCCACCAAAGGGAAGAGAATTAATTAAATTTGTAGGTATTTCAGTAGCTAAGTTTTTGTTGAACATCCAGACTACTGATGCATAAGTTATTTGCAGGTTTCGGTTTGTTTTTAGATGCAATTTACTACATTCATCACTTAACCCTCGCCGGCCGAGGGGGGGGGGCGGGTGCCGCCCCCCCATAGGGTTTTTTCGCGATAGCTCCGAACACGCTGGCGATAGAGAGCTGAAACTTAGCATACCTGACCTTTGATCCAAGCCGGATCTTTTGACACCAGCCGCATTTTTGGGTCAGGTCAGGTCACTGACCTATGACGTCATAAGTGAACCTCTGCACGGTCTTCAGATGTCGCAACTTCGCAACGCCCTCACTGCCAGAGGAGATGTCACAGGGAAATGAAACTTGCAGGATCCAGTATCCATTATGAGTCCCACAACTTGTATATCTCGGATTTTTCCTAAAGGTCATATGAGGTCAGGTCATTTTCGTGACCTCACCATTATAAGTCAATGGGGAAAAATTCAAACTGCTATTCTGGCGCCGGGAACGATTTCCAACTATCTCAAGCACACAGAATCGTGATTTGATGCACTCCTTGCAAGGTTAGATGCGTCACTTTTGCAATGTTGACCTTGCGTGACGTCATTTAGGACGTCATCAAGGTCAAATTAGTTTTTCGTCAATAACTCTTGATCAAATTGAGCTAGCGAGTCGGGAAAGGCACCAATGGACTCAGGAAGGCTTGCCGAATCGAATGATATGCGACATGACCTCTTTCGACCAACTTCGTGACCTGGGGGTGCTGACCTGACCTTGACCTGAGGTCAACACCTCAAGTTGACCTGACCCGGACAAAAAGTATATCATTCGACGCGCCTGAGCGAGGCGAACACGATGCTGCCAAAATCGGCGCTCTGCGGCCGTTTTTTGCGAAGTTATTCACCAAAAACTGAACCGTACCCTGAGGCACTTGACCTGACCTCAGAGGTCACCGGATGACTTAGGACCTTAAAATCGGGTACCAATCTCTGCGTCTCGTAACGGCGCACACGCTCGTTTTTTCCGCGACGCGCTAGCTCCACCAGGGGCGAAACGGCGAGGGGGGGGGGTCGTACCCGCCCCCCCCCCCCCTCGGCCGGCGCGTATGTAGAAAACCAATAGGTCCGGCGAGGGTTAAATCATAGTTGAAAACATCACGTGGTTGCGGCTACAGTGTCTTTAAAAAACCGTTTGGGCGTGAATTGCAACCACGTTGGTGGAAAACTGAGCCGATTGTATTCTGCACCCTTTTTATGAAATTGACCGCAGGTGACTTACTTTTATTACATGGTGACGTGGTTTACATGTGGTTTATATGTGTGTGCTAATAAGATAAAACAGCAAACTATGTCGCGATGCGATTTCACATCCCCGTGCCAAGATATGACATTAATTAGGAGATTGTGCTTTAGACCGGATCAGTTAGCGGAGTGAGCATAAGGCTGGAGCGTTGGAATATGATGCACAGTTCGTAAGCCCGGCTCTGCAAAGTTTTCAAACGTGAATCCAATGTTTTAGTAATCTCGGTTTATCTCTTCGCACAACGTGCTTATGGCGTGTTAGGAAAGGATAAAAAAGATTTTCATTATAGAAAGAGTTCATTACCGTCATCCTTCAAAGGACACGATAAAACAAGATGATAAGCCTTTCATAAGGCTTACGTAATACGTAGACAACGAACTATGCATTACATAGTTCTTCTGAATGCTTGAGACGAGGTGTTAGTATCACTGATGTTAGTTGTCGGACTTTCGTCCCCGTCTTCTCATCTCATCTCAAGACGGGGACGAAAGTCCGACAACTATGCATTACATGTAATTACACATTAGTTGTCTAATGCCTACTGTACCTACTACTGAGCAGATTCGCCATACCTAAAGTGACCCCAAACAGCTCAAACGGAACAGCGATAACACACGGAATCATAAAAGAAACAAGTGAAAGACACATCAACAAGCAAAAAAAAAGACGGCTCACCGTTCCACTCACCTTCGGCGCGGACTCCGACTGACACGCTCGTGGTTGAGCCGCATAATTTTGACAGCTTGTTGCTGACAATTCAACGATCAGTCACCTACACTAGCCACTTCGTTATCCACGCGTCTCGCGTGACCCGCGCGACCTTCCGCGTGACCCGCGCGACCTTCCGCGTGACCTTGGCGACCTTCCGCGTGACCTTGGCGACCTTCCGCGTGACCTAAGCGACCTTCCGCGTGACCCGCGCGAACTGCCGCGTGACCCGCGCGACCGTGCCGCGTGACCGGATCCGAGTGAGGCGCCGTGCCGCTGCCGCCAGTTACCGTCACCGCACATTGATCTCGGAGCGCCGCCCACGTCGTCGGCTTCTCTGGCCACAGGCGCGCGGCACGCGGCAGGCGGGGAGCTAGGCGGGGAGGTAGGCCGGGAGATAGGCGGGGAGATAGGCGGGGAGGTAGGCGGTGAGGTAGGCGGGGAGGTAGGTAGGGACTGGGGAGGTAGGCGGCGCCGACATATAGACGGATGGCAGGTGGAAAGGTGAGAAGGAAAGCTTACATAGAGTAGAGGCAGTGGGCAAAATACCTAATTGAAGAGAAGGACCAAGATATATGGGATGCAATATGTAATTTTGAAACCAGCAAAAATGCGTAGCATATATACAGCCCGAGAAGATAAGAGTTAGAAAGGAAAGCAGGAAAGAGAAAAGAGGACGACAGGAAGAACTAAGAAGGCAGAGTAACAGCCAGGTACCTAGTGTCAAAAAAGAAAGAAAAAGAATTTATTAACATTTTGATAATAATTCACCACATCATGATGTTAGTGTCACAATCTTACAAAGTGTGATTTTTTTTTGGGCGGCACCGGTTGAAATTCAGATACAACAAACGACTATTAAATGTAAAACTGTTTTCGCACAGTTCATCGAAAAAAGTAGCATTCCCATGAATAAGCATGAGTTCGTTAACTTAGATCCGCTTTGTCAATACATCGTAGATGCAACCAAAGACCGTGAATAAGGTCAACGGCATTCAATCATGATTGGACCCGGGTGACGGCATGCATTGCATCATAACCTACGACTGTGACTTCAGGCGAAATACACAGCGAACTCCCGGAAATAAATTGAAATGAGTTGTTGGAATCACTATTGGGATGCCACCGTAAGTCGTTTCAATCTTACTTTACGTGGAAAAACAAGTTTTTCTAGGCGGATTTCCCGTTTCCGAGGCGGACTTGGAGAGCTGATCATAGCTCGGATAAATGGGAGGGGGACTGGGATGGACGGCCTTAGAAGTCACGCGTTCACTCAGTGAGCTGAATCGCGCTCAGCGGCCAGATCCGTTCACAACGCGGTCTTCAATCATGCATGATAACGCAACATGCATATTGCATGATGCATGATAAGGCCCTGTTCAGATACGCCAAAGTCCCTAATTCAATTCAGTATGGCTTTTATTGTTTAAATATTAAAATTGAGCCAAATAAATAATCAATACCTTTCGAAATCATTTGAGGGCATCAGGCCGTGAATATTACCTTCTGTAATTGTACATGCATGGGACTGAGAACGAACCATTACAAACATGTGCTATTAGATGATATAATTATGTAATTATCCATGGGCTATGCTATAATTCATTAGGGTGAACTAACTAAATGAAGATAGTGAGAAAAATGTTAGAAATGTGGTACGATGGTCTTGCAAATATAGAAAATGGAGCCCTGTAGAGGCGTACCAGGACACCCCATCCGTTTTCAATTCAGAGTCCACAGAGTCGAAGCGAACGGAGGACGTCACGGGCGTCCCATGAGTGCCGGTGTTCCGGTATCATCGTCTATATGGAAATTAACGAGGAAATCATGCGCATTTTGAACAGTTGGCAGGCGATGGTACTGAGAGCTTTTCCTAAGTTTAGCTTCTATCGGGGCTCATCCCTCTGACCGTTCTCGGCTAACTGGCGGGAGGTTTCGAGCGTGGTTGGCGTCAATAGGTATGTTAGTTGGCTACTGATGTCTCGTTCTAATGCTCGTCATAGCCACATCGGCTGAACGATAGCTTTAAATTTAGAAATTTAGCGATTAACAGTAGGTATATGTATGGAATTTAAAACTCGGAATCTTTAAATCGGTAAGATAAGGTCAATTTTGTGACCTCTCCAATATGAGTTTATATGGGAGAAAATTGAGATGCACCTCTTTTAGACGAAACTCAAACTAAACACTCCAAGATCGGATAACAGGTTATCATGACACACTATCGGAAAATCGCACCAGTGCATTGCAATTCTTATCTCCCATGGGGTCATCTTAGGTCACGAGTTCTCCAGCAGTTTTGTTTTTGACAATAACTTTTGACAGGGATGTACAGTCTGTCTTAAAAGTACCGCGCAAAGTGACGGTGGATCCATCAAGCCTGACTAAGGTAGGGCCTGCTATAACTGGAAAGTCACCGAACCAATTGACCTAGGGAATGGACGAGGATGTGAATTGCTTCGGTGACTCAAATTTAGTAGGCCCTTCCTCGGTCAGGCATGATGGATCCACTGTCACTTTGCGCGGTACTTTCAAGACAGACTGTGCATGATAGAGCATGATAGAGATAGAGCGATGAAACAATCTTAGATGAGTTCAGCTCGACGATAAAGATCGACTGATATGCAACATAACCCCTTTCGGTCAGGTCATGACCTTGACCTTAAGTCAAAAGTTCAAAATGACCTTTAAGCTCAAATTATAGTTCATTCGGCATGACTCGACGAGAGGAAAACGATCCCTACAAAATCAATGTCGTATCTTTTCTGAGTCTAAATTCATTAAAAAAAAAAACGATTTTTGTAAAAACGGCACTCTCAGAGTTTGTGCCCTCTGCAGGCTAAACGTTGAACTTAGCTCAAATCTGAGGACAGTTTGCAGTAAGAACGTTAACTGGCTTTTAGCCAATACTTAGGCGCTCTATCCATTGGGTAAGACATTTATTTATTCAAACGACGATTAGCGTCGTCCCGGTCGAATAGAAACGGTGAGTGTAGCATCGCAACTCACACATCGGATCACAGTCTACCCCTGAAACCATTATCGGAAATCAGACAGAACTCGAGCGAAAAAGTGCTGACGGTGCACGTCGTCCAGCGAGAGTCCCCCCCCCCCCCTTCAGTGCCCAATGCTCATCCCAGACGTCTATCCCATATTTAGAGGATCAACGGCAATAGCCGAGCCGAGTATTGCCATGCCGGACAGCTGGTGTAGCAGCTACAGCAGAAGTAGGTATGTACCTTCGTAGAACCGATACCGATGGTGCTGGCCACTATCAAGGCTCGGGCCGTATATAAACGAGACGTGTTATTGCAATAACAGGCCAAATATCACCCAGCGACATGTCGCACAAGTTTGAGAGCCAGATTTTGTTAGTTCCGTTCCTGTTAGGTATGTTGACATTTTAAATGTCAAATTGTGTGCTGGGTTTTGTTAGTTCCGTTCTTGTTCAGTTGAGGTTGACATTTTCAAGTGTCCTCCAACCAGACACCAGACCAAGACCGCACGAGAGCTGTAGACTGCCCAGCACCGAATGAGCCGATGGCCGCTCTGAATCCTTCACCATGTAGATCACACAATGGCTAACGGATGAGCTGTCGACCGTCACAGAGGGCGATCAAAGACCCACGGCCAATTGGACGGTGCCGTGTGTGGACGTGTCCCAGACCCCGGTCAAGGATACCTACCGCAGAACGACGTGACTGGCTTATAACTGACGGATTGAGACCGAGACGGTTCAGCTTACTCGTCTCCATGGCAACGCCTAGGCGGCGTGCCGTGCCGTAGGTCAGACGGTGAGACAGACCGACTTATACACGGACTGACAGTAGGGCATCCTCTGATCACAGCATCTGAACAATGAAAAAACTGGGTGAGGATAGTATAAGAAACCCGTCAATGGTCATTCAACGCATGGGTTGTAGGCATCATAGTGTAATGAATAACTATTAATTACGGAGCGAGCGAAGCGAGCGTAGTCTTTCCTTAGATTAACGGAAATTTCTGAGTACGAGTATGAGCGGCCGGCCGGCCGGCCGGCCGTGGTCACGCTTTTGCGACGCTTAGGTATATCTCAGTAACCACTTGACCGATTTACATGCGGTACCTAATTTTTGTCGGGTAGCTTCATTCCTTCTACCAAGTATTGGACTATTTCCGATGCATGTGGGTGACTCCTTATGCACGTGCCACGTGCAAAACGAAGTGGTGTCACTTTTGTAATAGTTGCTATATATCTCGGTAACTACTGGGCCGATTGCGCTGACAGTTGGCATGTAGGTAGGCACCCACTAGGCAATGCATATCCATGTGCCACAGTTGGGGTGCTGCTGCACGTGCGTACGTGCATGAGGGGTCGATTCCAGATCTCGAAAACGGCTGGACCGATTGCGCTCAAATTTGGTACACGGTTACGGAGCAGTTAGTAGGGTGCCGTGCACAAGTCAGTTGGGACCCATTTTGCACGTGCGCACGTGCAGGGTGCCGCTTCCAGATCTCGAGAACGGCTGGGCCGAATCCGATTGTGCTCAAATTTGGCATATCGCTAGAGACCGGTTAGTAGGGTGCCGTGCACAAGTCAGTTGGAGGTATCCCCTCGCAATTTCGCATGTGCAAGGCCCACCCTCTCGCTTGCTCCGTTAGTCACCCCAAAAGGCGTTGTACTGATTAAATTAGGTACTTTATAAATGCGGGTAGAGTAGAACGTAAAAAATTAACAAGTTAGGTACTGACAATTAACAATATGGCTGTACGTAAGAGGACCGTCTAATCAGCGCGGTCTGTCCATTGACGCACCGCACCAAGCTGGTCACACTTCTGTCGGTCTGCATACACAGACCACCGACGTCTCTGTCTCAATTACCCACCACCGTCTCCGTTCCTGGCGCCCCTCCGCCCGGAGATGACGAGTCCCGCCCGCTCCCCGTATACGACCATCAGGCGAGACGAGGTGCGGCACCGGCGGTCGTCAGCCGACCCATTCGGCGCCGACCGGGCCCAAGTTGGTCGTGGCGTCGTCACTGCCCCGGTGGCAGCGCTCATAGCCGTACCTGGGCTGTCGAGCACCACCAGCTGCCGCCGCGCCGCGCCCAGCGAGCGGACTGAACGACAATTGTTCGACAGAGTTGGGACAAGTTAGGCTTCCAAGGCGGAATTGACTCGAACTGGGCCCGAGGCGGTGAACGCCGTCGAATAGTCGGCTCATTAAAGTGCAAGTTTAGGTGAGTGGGTTTATTAACC